GTCTCTGCTTTTCACGATGCTGTCCAGATTTGTCATCGCTTTCCTCCCAAGAAGAAGGCGTCTTTTAATTTCAGGGCTGCTGTCTCCATCTGCAGTGATCATGGAGCCCAGGAAGATAAAATTTGACACTGCCTCCATATCTTCCCCTTCTATTTCCCAGGAGGTGATGGGACCAGTGGCCATGATCTTAGTTTTTTTGATGTTGAGTTTCAGACCGTTTTTTGCACTTTCCTCTTTCACTCTCATTACAAGGTTCTTTAATTCCTCCTCACTTTCTGCCATCAGAGTGGTATCATCTGCATATCGGAGGTTGTTGATATTTCTTCCGGCAATCTTAATTCCGGCTTGGGTTTCTTCCAGTCCAGCCTTCCGCATGATGTATTCTGCATATAAGTTAAATAAGCTGGGGGACAATATACAGCCTTGCCGTACTCCTTTCCCAATTTTGAACCACTCAGTTGTTCCATGACCAGTTCTAACTGTTGCTTCCTGTCCCACATATAGGTTTCTCAGGAGATGGATAAGGTGGTCAGGCACTCCCATTTCTTTAAGGACTTGCCATAGTTTGCTGTGGTCCACACAGTCAAAGGCTTTTGCATAGTCAATGAAGCAGAAGTAGATATTTTTCTGGAACTCTCTGGCTTTCTCCATAATCCAGCGCAAGTTAGCAATTTGGTCTCGAGTTCCTCTGCCTCTTTGGAATCCAGCTTGTACTTCTGGGAGTTCTCGGTCCACATACTGCTGAAGCCTACCTTGGAGGATTTTGAGCATAACCTTGCTAGCGTGCGACATGAGTGCAATTGTACGGTAGTTGGAGCATTCTTTTGCACTGCCTTTCTTTGGGATTGGGATGTAGACTGATCTTTTCGAATCCTCTGGCCACTGTTGAGTTTTCCAAACTTGCTGGCATATTGAATGTAGCACCTTAACAGCATCATCTTTCAAGATTTTAAATAGTTCAACTGGAATGCCATCACCTCCACTGGCCTTGTTGTTAGCCAGGCTTTCTAAGGCCCACTTGACTTCGCTCTCCAGGATGTCTGGCTCAAGGTCAGCAACCACACTATCTGGGTTCCCCGGGACATCCAGATCTTTCTGGTATAATTCCTCTGTGTATTCTTGCCACCTCCTCTTGATATCTTCTGCTTCTGTTAGGTCCCTACCTTCGTTGTCCTTTATCATGTCCATCTTTGCATAAAATATTCCTTTGATAGCTCCAATTTTTTTGAACAGAGCTCTGGTTTTCCTCTTTCTATTATTTTCCTCTATTTCTTTGCATTGTTCATTTAAGAAGGCCCTCTTGTCTCTCCTTGCTATTCTTTGGAAGTTAGCATTCCATTTTCTGTAACTTTCCCTATCTCCCTTGCATTTTGCCTCCCTTCTCTTTTCTGCTATTTGTAAGGCCTCGTTGGACAGCCATTTTGCTTTCTTGCCTTTCCTTTTCTTTAGGGTGGTTTTTGTTGCTCTCTCCTGTACAATTTTACGCGCCTACATCCAAAGTTCTTCAGGCACTCTGTCCATCAAATCTAGTTCCTTAAATCTGTTCTTCACTTCCACTGTGTATTCATAAGGGATTTGGTTTAGATTATACCTGACTAGGCCAGTGGTTTCTCCTACTTTCTTCAGTTTAAAATTACATTTTGTTATAAGAAGCTGATGATCAGAGCAACAATCAGCTCCAGGACTTGTTTTTGCTGACTGTATAGAGCTTCTCCATCTTTGATTGCCGAGAATATAATCACTCTGATTTTGGTATTGCCCGTCTGGTGATTTCCATGTGTAGAGTCACCTCTTGTGTTGTTGGAAAAGAGTGTTTGTGATGACCAGCTTGTTCTCTTGACAAAACTCTATTAGCCTTTGCCCCGCTTTGTTTTGAACTCCAAGTACTAGCACTGGTTTACAGAACATTATTCAGAAGTAGATTACAGGCAAAACTGTACACAAAAATGTAGTGTTCCCCTGGAAAGAGTGTAGTCATTCATTTACTTCTGCCATGAGTTTGAGCCCTATATGAAAGGATTTTAGAATCTGACTATTTCCTACCAGACCCCTTTGAGTTTTAAACTAGTCAGAGGTAATACTGCCAATCACTGTCAATAGTGTGAAATAGTTTTAATGGTCCCTTTCATACCTTTAATCTCAAATCCCTCAAATATGAATCAAAACAGTGGTGGCTTTTATATGAGTTCAGGAGAGAAGACTTGGGATGTTATCCATCTGTAGCTGAGTTTTATGTTTATTTTTATTAGCCCACTTTCAAATTTTAGAAGTAATTCTCCAACAGAATGTTTATGGGCCAAAGTCAAAGCAACAACCCACACAGAGAACTAAATGCCTTATGAATTTCAAAATGTTCAGCCCTCTGATCTTGTCTGTTATTGTACAAATCAAAGATATATATTCTCGAAGGCTTTTACGGCCGGGATCTGATTGGTTGTTGTGGGTTTTTCGGGCTCTTTGGCCATGTTCTGAAGGTTGGTTTTCCTAACGTTTCGCCAGTCTCTGTGGCCAGCATCTTCAGAGGACAGGAGTCAGAACTCTTGTTTGTATTCTGTGTAGCACTTGAATAGAGTACTAGAATAGGACTCAGAAACCTGTGTTCAAATCCCCCCTCAGCTTACTTTGAAAATTTTATGGTGATCCTAACAAGTTGGATGTGACTTGACAGCACATATTAACCATTTGTGACTAAGAAGTGACAGTGCACAGGAAAACTATCTTTGATTTGATGGTTGTTGTGGGTTGAAAAATCAAAGATAGTTTGCCTACTGGCTCTACTACCGAGAAACATAGCATAGGAAAATTCATTTTACTTTTCCACACAAGCCACTGGCCTCCTGAGTCAAATGGAAATATTGCGTTGGGGATAGAGATGGGAGCTACATGCTTCATACGAAGCACGAAACCACAGGTGGTGCTGGGTTCTATTTCCCTCCCCCAAGGCCTCCTGGTCCCTGTGCAGTGAGACTCCCCATCCTGCCTCCTCACCAGAGTGATTGGCTGCCTGAGGAGGCAGAGAAAGGCTGGCTGGGGTCCTGCCTGGATTGAAGCAACACTGCCAAAGAAGGACCCCAGCAGCATGCAAAGCAGAGTAAATGGACCAGGAGACCTGGAGGGAGGGAGATGGAACTCGGCACTCATCTCTAGTTGGGAGCTTCATATTAAAGTAGCTAAACTGCAGTACTGCAGCCAAAGCACCGTTAAAGTGGCTAAACTGCAGTACTGCAGCCAAAGCACCACACACAACCCAGGTTCAATCCCGGATAGCTGGTTCAAGGTTCACTCAGCCTTCCATCCTTCTGAAGTTGGTAAATTGGGTATCCAGTTTGCTGGTGACGGGGTGGGGGGAATGTGGCATTTGCATAATTCAACTGTAAACCACCCAGAGAGTGCTTTAAGTGCTATGGGGCAGCAAACAAACAGCATGTTTTGCTTTTTTGGAGGAGAATCTTAATAGGCAAATAAGTACACCTACAACCCAGAGAAACAAGGCCTGTGAAGACCGGGTAGTACAGGCTGATGTACTGAGGGAGAGACACTCCGACAAATACTGGGGCTCCAACCCATTATGTGCTTTACATCAAGGCTTGAAAAATGCACTCATCCACTTGTCTGTGACAAGTGAAAAATGCTCGACGAGCCTCTCTCTCTCTAATCCTGCAGTCCTCCCCTCCCACTGCAAAAGGAAAACTGCCCTCTTCTCGCAAGAAGAAAGTTCAAATAGCACACAGAGATATAGCTCTGCAGGAGAATGCGGAGTAGTCCCATGCTGGAGAATATGGAGATATCTTGCTCCCAATTTCAACCGAACTGGGGGGGGGGACACACATCCTGGGGTGTGAGGGAACGATGGCTCCTTAAGAGGCCGGGCGCTTTTGCTTTCAGTTTTATTTTTGATGGACACATTCAAAAGAAAGGCATTAAAAATACAAGCTTCATGCCCCCACAGGCACGCAAGTAATAAAGCAACCCAAGTCTGAGTGTATAAATCAGTGATTCCCGTGTATGTAATACAATTTATTTTGGGTTTGTATGCATTGTTATGTAGAAATAAAAGTGAAGAAGTGCCTAGTTTAAATTTGTTAAC